AAGAACCCTAACCAGTCCTGACCCCCCCCGTGCGGTCGCACTTCTTGGAAGGCAGCTCGGGGTCAGACCACCACCCAGGATACACCCTCCCCCCGCCCCTCCCCCAGGGCGGCCTGTCCACCCTCTGTGCTGGTCCCAGTGTCCCCACCCACAAGGCCTTTCCAGTTGGCCCCATGGCCCCCGCCATTCTAGAAGGCACAGGAAGCCGGCCCTCAGCCCACTTTGCAGACGGGGTCCTGCGGCGTCTCCCTGGGTGGCATGGCTAGGCCTCCTGACCCACCCCCTTCCCTGCACACTGGCCCTTCGGTCACCCTCGCCCCTCCCAGCACGAGGGCCCGGTGGCGCTGTGTTGGCTCCATCCCTGGCTGGGCCCCGAGCCATATTCATCCTCCTGTCTGTTTCTTGGAGGGGGGCCAAGAGCCTGGCTAGAGATTGGGGTGAGTTTACTTCCTGGACAGCGGGGGAGGGGAGCTGGGGCGGCGGGGGAGCGGCGGGGGTGGGCGGCAGGAGGGAAGGTGGCCTCCCTGCCTCTGCTGCTCCATCGTGGAAGCCCCGACCCCCGGGCTGACCCTCCCTGGAATGCCCTCCTGGCTCTGCGGGGACCCCCGGATGTCGGCCCCGCCACCCAGGCAGAGTTGACCACCACTGCTCTGGGCCCTCAGCACTGCTCACCCCGCTTGTCTGCCACTGGCCCCCTGCCCTCCTAGAGGCCTCTGACGGTAGCATCTCAGGTGCCCTGCCCTGCCCTGGCCTTGGAGAGCCCCCAAGCTGGGAGCTCTGTGAAGGAGTGAGGAGTGACTGGAGCCTGGCCCCACCCAGCCTGGAGGAGGGGTCAAGTCCTCCCAGCCCAGCCTCGGTCACTGCAGCCTTCCCTGCGTCTGCCTGCCGTGGGCAGCCCCTGTGGTCTGGGGGAGGCCACGGGGCGGGAGGCGCCCTGGCCTGGGGCTGAGCCCCCGAGGGTCTTGGCTGGCCAGGCCCCCTCACCTGTCTTGCAGCCGCCTCTCCCCGACACAGGTCAGCTTCTGAGCTCCCCGGGAGGCCGTAGGGAGAGCCCTTGCCACAGCACAGAAACTGCAAAGGCAGACCAGGGGCAGCTGCGCTCAGGGCCCTGGGGTCCCTGCCAGGCAGGCGGGGAAACTGAGGCGCAAAGAGGCCGAATGACTGGGCAGGTCCAGCAGAGCCGGG